CAACAGCACAGCAGTACCACTTGGAAATGCGTAAGTTTAAGTGGGAGTAAATAAATATTTTGCATATAGAGGGCAGCACTGAATTAGAAAAGCTATTATGTGACAGAAGGTAAGTTATCATATTGGCATTACTAAGGAAACTTTCAGACCTGCACAGCACAATATTTCTTAATGGATTGGGCCTCCAGAAGTTTGGAGTTTAAGAAAATATTTATTACATATGCAATGTATTTAACCACTAGACATATCTCTTAGGAATATGAAAAGTTACATTTTCCTTACCTGACAATGTATTTTCAAAAGATTTTTCCACAACCAGTTTAGCTATCTTACTCGTGTGCCTGCCTAAAAGATTTGCCATACCACTAGCCTTGAGCCAACTCTCACCTAAGTTCACGTGTTTTATCGTGAACTGCAATTGTGCATGATGACATTATCCTGCAAAAAAAGCCCTCCACCAATAGGAGGACAACACAACCTCCATGTGCAATAACTCCATGTATACATTTGCACTCGTGATAACTTTATTGTTTGATGAGGTAAGAAAAAATGAGCAACAAAAGCAGGGAAAACTGGTAGGAATGTGTGCAGAAGCGAGTATCTATTTGAAGTACACCATTTCAGGTTAGGAAAAAGTTAACTTCTAAGACAACAACTCACCTCTACACACACAGTTTAGCTAGAATTCCATGTTGATTTGGTTAAAGGGGCCGGTGCAAAATTTTACCTAGATGAACTACCTTCAGAAAATGCCTGATGGAAAGCCCATGGAATGTGACAACCAATTGCAGCAACTTCACAGAGGCACACCTGTGAGAGACTGTATTTTGTCTTGACCATGTGTTTCAGGGACAGGCAGAATGGAAAATTTAACTGTCCAAGCACTTGCACACAAGCAGTTGGCAAGCCAATATATGTAGTGTGGTTGAGCAGTGTTCATATCGTACTCTACTGAGCAGATTCTACAGGAGAGACTCCAGTTGCAGGAAGGCATATTAGTCATGCGTTTTGATTTTATACAGTGTGTGCTCACTTCAATTCTACTGAACATCCCTAAGAGATAGAGTCCTGTTGCGGGAGGAGGACATTTTAGCTAAGCTGTATGATTATGTATATTGTGTGCTTTGCCTCAACTCTACAGACACTGACTGCAGGAGGTACACATATTGGTTATCTTTTATTGTTTCATATTGTAAGTGATAACCTCAACTCTACTGAACAAAATTTGGCTGCAGGAGGAGGACATTTTAGCTAAGCTGTATGATTATGTATATTGTGTGCTTGTCTCAACTCTACAGACACTGACTGCAGGAGGAACACATATCAGTTATTTTTTATCATTTCATACTGTGAGTGCTAACCTCAACTCTACTGAACAGAATCTGGCTGCAAGAGGAGGGCACATCAGTTATGTATATTAAGTGCTCACCTCAATCTAATGAACAGGCTTTGGCTGCAGGAGGAGGGCACAAGTAGTAAGATCTATTATTTAGAGGGGTGACCCCTACAGTGATAGTGTCACCACTGATCCACTTCCAACTGTTTTGTGCTAAGCCCAAATGGTGAAGATTCTCCACAGTCCACCACTCCAGCATTAAGGAGATCTGCAGAAGCATCCATATCCCCAATGGATCTCCTGCTGAAAAGGACTTTTACTGGAAACAGTGCAATGGGTGACCACAAAACCCTATTTTTAAAAGCCAAAAAAGCATTAACCAAAGAAATAGGTAGATCACTTCCCTGGTTTTGGTTTTTCCCCCAGTAGTCCATGGAATTGGTACAATCTGGATTGGACAGTTGAGTAAATACGTATACCACAAGGATATCACAACTGGTATTCAAAATGGATGGTCTTATAACTTTCCATTATCCTGACTTGATTTTGGATGAGTATACCCTGGGAGGCAACACCAGTCACCTATTGGGATCCTATATAAAGAAAAGAGGGTCTGAAAATGAAAATGTGTTACTCGTCTAGAGATGGTGAGTTGGCCAAAGAGTGGCGAACCGAGGAAGATGAAAACCAACAGGAGATGAAACAGCCAGATGGTGAAGGTAATGTGATACAAAAGTATGGAGCATAGCTTACATGTTGATCTAGAATATCTCATCCAATGGATGATAAAAATGGGCAGCAAGAGAATGAGTAAGGAGACAAAATTGATGTGAAGAAATGTGAAATAGCCTGTGGGCATCCACATCCAAAGATGCATACACCAACTGGAGAAGTCGACAGACCCATCTGATAAGGGCAGAAAGAGAGAAGTCCCAAGGTGTGAAGAGACAATGTCGAGGTCCCTGAAAGGGGGAGTACAGGATCAGTAACACCAAACAGCCTGAACAGGACACAGAAGTTGGTCCAGGTCTGAACAACCATAGAGATGAGAGATAATAGGAAAACAGACAGAAGAGAAAGTGCTGTTCTCTTTCCAAGTGATTTAGGAAAGACAGGTTGATCTGGATAGAAGAGCATATAAGTAAAATGGAAAAGAATACCAGAAGAATCAATGACATAGATATCTGAATGATGGGAACTACAGGTAAGAAGGAGAAGGAAACAACTCTTAAATAAAAGGTGTCAGAAAGTGCAAAATTCCAATGGCTCAAAAGGATCAAAGGTGTGCAAAACCAAATTAAGGGCCCAATCAAGCATAATAGTAGGACACCTTTGGAAGGTGAAGAAGGAAGGAATGGAAGAAAGTGGAAAAAACAGTGGCACCAGGAAAGGCAAAACATTGTGTATAATACTGCCCAATAACCAGCAATGGTGGAGACTGACATATCATGGTCAAATAACCATGTAAAGAAGGAAGAATGATGTTTGATATTAGGCTGGACAGGAGGAAAGAAATGATCATTTACAGTCTGGGTGAAAAAAACACAATAGAGTGAAAAGAAGTTTTCCATCTTAAAGTGTGGAACAACCAGAAAATGATTGAAGGAGAATAGATCAATTACTGGACACCAGTCTCTAGTGTTCTTGGAAACCAAAAAGAGACAAGAATAAAAACCCAAAGAAGGGTTGTATAACCACTTGATAGCATGTTTGGCCAAAAGATATTATACCAACTCCTCAACATGTTGAAGATAGACAAAAATTAAAAGGAGTTGTAAATGTAATTGGATGAACAGAGAGAGGGATAAAGAAGAGAAGTGGAGAAACAGCCCAGAGAACCCATTCATCAGCAGAAAACTGTAATTAGAGGTCTGTAAACTATTACAGAGGAGCCACCATGGGCCCCAAACTGACAGGATAATCACCAATAAGTTGTGCAGCAAGCTTTAAAATAGTTAGAGGTGGGACAGGTGGAAGTGGAAGGCCTGAAAGATAGAATGAATAGGCAAGGGGCCTGGTCAAGGAACAGGAGAGGGCAAGCAACTTTAAGAGAGGTGAAAAACCAAAGAAGACAGCAAGGACTAGTGTTGGGCAACTTCAGCCTTGATTCAAAAGTCAGGAACACCACCAAAGATGTATAGACAAAATAAGGGAGCAAAACAAAGATCACAATGAAAAGAAGTAGGTAGGCAGATGTTAGTGAGAAGGGTATCCCTATCTAAGAAGTCCCAACAGCAGAGAAGCCAAAGGACAAGGCAGAAGAAGTGGCAAACGCCATAGTAGAGAAGAGAAGGGAATGAACTTTTTTGGAAAATTCACCTGGAGTGTGTTGAAGTGCCTCATACATGAGCTGCAGGGTAGTAAGGAAAAGACAGAGATGAGAAAACTGACCATTGGAGAGGTAGCAAGCAACAAGGAGTCTGCAACCCAAACAGGTAAAAAAAAGATAAAAGATTCAAAAGACTGAGAACTGAGAAAGGGAAAACCAGAATGGCTATAAGTCAGGACATCAGAATCAGATAAACGAGGAGGGAAAGGCATAAAGTCACTGATACGACACTGGTCCAGAAAGGAGTCAGTATGAACACCAACGTCAAGGGATGTAGGAAAAACGAAATAATCACCAGGGTTAGGGTTGTGAAACAAAGAATATGAAGACATGGGCAAAAGTGAAAGAAATAACATACCTTGAAAAAAGAGTGGAAGGTTAAGGGTGTTCCTCAACTAGTAGTGAGGTACCTAAAGCAAAACCAGGAGGTGAGAAAAGGTATTCAAATTTGTCTTCCTAATGTTCATATTCAAATTGAGGAGAAAGGATAATAGAAGAATGGATGGGAACAGAAGACCCAGCACGTATAATGGCATCATTCAGTTAACAATCCTCCAAAAGCTATAGTTGTAATAGGTCCTTTGTGTGAACTTTCTTCCCTCCCAAAGGAATAAGTAAAATTCACATTAACCAAGCAATGAAGACTAATTTTAAATTAAGATGAAACCTAAGTTTTATCAAGCAGGGCAAGTCTCAGCACATTGAAGATAATTTCCAACATGTCTGTGTTGCACAGTACTGAGGAAAAGAATGAAGTTATCATGAGTGCAAGTACATAAAGAAATTACGGTGCATAGAGGTTGTGTCGCCCTCCTATTGGTGAAGGGCCTTTGTCACATGATGAACATCATCATTCATCAGTGCAGTTTACATTAAAACACATGAAATTAGGTGGGAGTTGACTCAAGGCTAGTAGTATGCAAATCTCTTAGGCAGGCACACAAGGAAGATAGCTAAAATGTGTGTAGGTGACTTATCGTCTCCAAAAATAACATTTACTGTTCAAACAAGATGTAAGATCAACAACTATTAAAAACAAAAGAACTACCGCAATGCTCATACATAGTTAGTGGATTAGTTTTATCAAGTACATAAATATCTGAATCAGTGATCTTAAAATTTAGCTCATTTTATAGAGAATTAAGAGTTTGATAGCAGCACCTTGCTATGAATGCACAATAAATCAGATATTTCCATTTCATGTAAATATTTGGCCAAAGGAAGGCAACAAGTGCATGAAATTAATGCACATTTGAAATCTACCTGAAAGACAGATAGAATTTTTGTACACATAAAAAAAAATAAAGTGAGAAAAGAAATTCATGGTTAATGTACCCGATATGTGATTTTTAAATCAATCCATGAATTCAAAACAGCAGGCTTGTTAAGCTGTTTCCTCTTGCATTCTGAGTGCAAACAAACCCCTAGATCCCAACTGGTCCATGTACCAAAAGTGCAATGACAGCCATTAGTAGATGATGTGTAGTTGCTGTGGAACACAAGATGGTATTTCTGGACCAAATTTTTAAGCCACTGTTTGAATAACCCAAGGCAAGTTGGAAGTGGAATTCCCTCATCAACTTGGTCCTGCATAAAAATTAAATATGAAAAGATGATTGCAGATTAAAAACTTTTTGCTTAAACACATAAAATTCTATCTGAAGTTTTGGTTAAAATTTCAGTCTCTTGTTCACAGAAACAGAACACAAAATTAAATATGGAGACTAGTACTATTAATCTGATAATGAAACTAATGCCCATCATATTAAGGGTGAGGTCAAGTCAATCTACTTTTTCGAGAAAAGGCCTTATGTAGGAAATTTATTAATAAAGTGTGAAATGTCACTTGTAAATTCCACATGTTAAATGAAACTGGTATATGACAAATGTATCACCTGTAAAAACTAAGTTTCTCAACATATTTGAAAAATTATTATAATGAAAAATAAGAGCTATAAGTACTTTAAGGCTTATTGGTTATATAATTTTGTCAAATATATTCTTGTAAAATTTTGATGGACCATTCATAAACATTCATTAAACATTCATTTCTCGACATATTTGAAAAATTATTATAATGAAAAATAAGAGCTATAAGTACTTTAAGGCTTATTGGTTATATAATTTTGTCAAATATATTCTTGTAAAATTTTGATGGACCATTCATAAACATTCATTAAAATTTATGACATTTACACTGTTGTGACTACCTTTTATGACAATAAACTACACTCAAGGAAAATAAAAATGCACTAACTCATGTTTCACCATTATTTGTCAAATAAATACTTCATGAATCAAACAAATCATACATTAATTGTTTATTTGACGCATCCTTCAAACACCAATGCAATAACAAAACATTTTGAATCATCTCAATTTATCACAATTGCCTGAATAACTGCACCAGTAGAAAATGATTTTTAACCACATTCAGTTTTTTAATAACATGTGTCCTCCATTAGCCACAGTTATGTTTCCGGAGTGTGTGGATGCTGACACAAATGCTTGCTCAATAAATCCCAAATATTTTCTATGGGGTTCAAACCTGGGAAAGGACATTAACCTCACTGTTCTCCAGAAACTCAGTACAGATACAGCCACGCGTGGTCTGGCATTGTCTTGCTGAAAAACCGCACCAATCACAACTTGATCCAGAAAAGGCAGAACCACTGGCTGAAGAAATTCATCCCGATATCTCTGAAAACTCAAATTCCTCTCAATAAATTGAAGCTTTGATTGGTGATAGGCAGAGGTACCAGCCCATACCATTATGCAAGCACCTCTCCATCTGTCCACTTGTTGTACACATGGAGCAGCAAACCTCTCATTTTGCCTCCTGTACAACCTTTGTCTTCCATTGGGTATGAAACACTAGAACCTTTTATTGTCAGTAAAAACAACCATCGATCACTATTGCACCATTAAGGCACCAGTGGATGCTGTTTTCTTGGTGATGGGCAGCGAGGACTGTACCTGTGTAAGAGCGGTAAGGTTGGATTCCAACATCTCAGACAACTGCAGATGGTTCTGGCACTCATAGATCTGTTTTGTGCCCTAATGGTGGCAGTAGCTGTCTGGGTAGAGGGCTGGAATTAGTTGTGCAGATACACCAGGCGGATCCAGTCTTGATGAGTAGTAGTCACGTGAGGTCTTCTTGGTATCATCATACCACTGGCATAAACACCCAATCATCAAATGGTTGACATTCAGTACTCAGGCTACAGCTCTGATGCTCTGACTAGTTTGGACATTACCAATGGCCCTAACTCTTTGTGACCGAGTCAGTCGTGGCATCATGTATCCTGTGAATTTCATTTGTTTTTTGGTGCTTTTTTAATGACATGGGTCATTGGGATGGTTGTGTTGACTGGTGTGAACAATGGACAAACACCAGATTTTTACACTTCATTTGGCTCACCAAAACCACTGAAGGTAACAGTCAATAATGCTTGTTTTATTTCATTATTTAACTCAACAAACAAACCTAATGCCATAACTTGGATCAATTTTGTTTTCTAACAAAAAAATATAAAAAACAAAAGTAGTGCATTTAAATAAAACTCTATTGGTCCAGTAAAAAGATGAAACATTTTTTAGTTTTCAATATTTCTTATACTGTCTCATGATTGTACCTTTCTCACTGAACTGTACTTTTTTTGTAAAAATCAATTAGCAAAATTGAAACTGTAGTATGAATGACATAGTTCCTAAACCAGAGTTTCCATTTTGATGATGTATGATTTTTTTTGATTATCCATTTATTATAAATGTTTTTAGTGTCCAAAGACTTAATTCATTTACATCATATTTAATCATTAGAAATTTAAAGTTAAAATGATTGCAACATATCTATAACTGAAAAATCTAAGATTCAATCAACTATCAAAATTATAGCTAATGTTATTGTGTTACGATACACTAAATTAGATGAAACAGGATCTACCCTGTTCAGAAATTCAACTCAGTACTCTCAGCTCTTACTAGTGCTCTGTCAACTGAATTGTCGTAACTTCAGTCCTTGTTAATTACCTATTCACCTATCATTAAAGTATTGCCATGAATATAGGAAGCTGTACATGTAATATATACAAATTTATTAGCATGGTGGTAAATCATCACAGGGGATGGGGAAGTCTTTGAAAATTATTCTGAAGTAAAAGTTGTCACATAAACATCATACAAAACACATTTTTTCATATTTTTAGAATTCTCACAAGGTCAATGTTTATAATAATCAGAAATAAGTTAGCAATCTGCCCTGAATGGGACTTGAGCCTAGAACATCCAGTAGCTTGAGACTGAAGATCAACCAACTGGGCTACCACAGCACCAAGATCATGCAGACAGCTCTTCACATAGTTCATTAAAAGATATACAAAATCCAAACTATATGTAAATAAAGTAAGTGACACGGAATTAGATTTCACTGATATATATATATATATATTTCCACACATACCTGAGAAATACCAGTCAATTTTTTGACAAGAAATACACTCAGTTTTGGATGTTCCCTTGGCTGAATGTAGGTATAGAAATTTAGTTACAAATTAAATAAATTCTTACCCAACGGTTAAAC